TGATTTTGATGAGATCTTGAGGTTTCTCTTTGGATTCTAAATTCTTAACGGATCCTAATATATTTGTATATATACATGTATACATATATACATATATGTATATATATATATATATATATATATATATATATATATATATATATATATATATATATATATATATATATATATATATATATATTATCTTATGCAGCATAAATACTCATATTTGTTTAATTATTCAGGATTTTGCTGCAATATTTATTAGCATACCTAGAAAAGTATCTGAAAACTACAAAGAGATAAGATTGGTTTTGGCAGATACATAGAACATTCATTAAAGACTAGAACAAGAAAAAAACGCACCTCTAACAATGAAATCAAATATTAAGTAACTGATGACTCTATAATTTGTAACAAGTCGCTAAAGCTGTTATTGGGGCACATTGAAACAAAGCAAGCTCTTACCGAATACCTGGTTGAATATACAAAAACTAATATAGGTAGTGCAATTCGCTTCATTGTTACATTTTCAAAAACAACCGAAGCAAATATGGAACATCTATCTGCAGAAATGATGAATCATAATCACAAAGAGGCTGATACTCCGTTAATTATGCGTGCCATTGACGTTGCAAAAGAAAACCCATTAAAATATGCATTGTGCATTCCCAAGATACTGACGTTTTTCTACTTTTAGTTCATTTTTATCAAGTCCTGCCACGTGTCACAATTTTCCGAACTGGTAAAGGAGATAAGAAACGAGACATCTCGATTTAAAAATGTTACGAAGCAATTGGTTCTAAACAAGCACAAGCTATTTTAGGTATTTTTGTTTAAATTTTGTTGTTTCTCATTTCTAATGAAAGTAAGGGTCTTCGTGAAATTTTTCATTTCTTTAAGTTTTCATTTTTTACTGGCTGTGATCAAATTGGACGTTTTTTTGGAATCACTAAAAAATCATGGTGGAAAGAATTTATAAAAGCTGACGATGAAACCCTAGCTACTTTATCAAATCTTGGTAAATCAGAAGCTTTACCTGTTCTGTTTACAATAAATAACACTGAATGTTTTGTTGTTAGAGTTTACGGTGATAAACAGACAGAAGATATTAATACTCTTTCACAACTTCGTTGGTTCCTATTCTCTAACTTTCAGTATGACGCTGCACAACTTTCACCTCAATGAATGTCCTTTAGTACCATATATTCCGTATTCACTTTTTATGTATAGTGCTTAAACGCTCTAACATGTCCGTACAGTAACTACCATCGCCTGTGGAGTATGGTTGGAAACTAAATAATGGATCTTTTGACCCTATAATGACTAACAACCTACCAGTGTCCTTGTAAAGGAGACTGTAATAATAAAAGGTGCAATTGCTTAAAAAAATAAACTTGTCTGTACTGATATGTGCAAGAGTAAAGGATATAAAAATAATAATGTAGACGACCAAAAGGAAAACTATGACTATGAATGTAGAGATATATAAGACGCAATTTAATTTATTCGTATTATTAAATACCAGCTTGTAAGCACGATAATTTTAAAATATATTTCCAAGATGTAAAAGGTTTTTGAGTTTAAGAATAAAATCTTAGAATATTTGAAGCTTTTCATTCAATAAATGTCTTTAATTTCATTTATATTTAAAGATTAATTGACTTTATACTGTCAATTAAATATTTTCCGAGCGTCTTTTTTTGTCTTCATTAAACATTGTATACTATAAATTTTACTTTGGTTTACATATGATATTTTTTATGTTTAAACAATGCAAATACTAATATATATACTAGCTAAATTATTTCAGTTTTACTTAATTTATCTTTTATCTAGTGTAAATTTTTGTAAATAATCTCCGGTTCGGTAACTTACACAACGTCCTTTATCTAATGAAGTAAAAATTTTTAAAATGTTTTTTATATGATTTTGAAAGCTCTTTCTAATGGTATAAAATATTTTTAAAATAACGATTAAATTTTTTTTTTGCTATGGGGCCTATTACGTCATCCACGTGACATAAACCATAAATATTAAGTGACACCTATTACTTTTTAAATCCTTTTTATATAAGGATCTCATATTAACAAAAAGTTTGCTTGTAACACGTATGTGCACACAAAGAGTTCTTTTGAAACATAGTGACCTGCACTAATTGTTTTTTAAACAAAATGATATTGAGTTTTTATACCCTAAAAATAGAAAAAAACAGAACTTAAATACCCTAAATGCTCCTCTTACCTTTTTTAAAACTTAATTGATTATTTGACTAAGAGAACTTTTTTTTTTCAAAAACTGTTTTTAGTTTACTAAACAAGTCAGGTATATGTGAAGTCTAGCATAATAAAAGTATTGCAGCTCAAGGAAAATACTACTTTCTTTTATTATAATTATAAAATTTTTGTTGCCAAATAGAAATTACAAATTAACTAGTAAATTTTCTGTGAAATCTGCAAAGATTATTTTAAAAGATTACTTTTAGATTATTGTGTTGCAACTTACCCCGTTTACTGTTACAACTTGCCCCAATGCAGGGTAAACTGCAACATTTTTTTTTTTCATTTTTATTTCACTGTTGCGGAATAATTAAATTTTATATTATATTTATCAACATTGGATTGATATGCCACTAAGATCTATTTTATAACCCTGAAAAAAAAATTCTAAAATTTTTTTCAGGGCTATAATATTAAAGTTTAAGGACATAAATGCAGTTTTTCAAATTTTGTTGCAACTAGCCCCGGTCTCCCCAATTGCTTTAATTTTTTGAGGAGAACATTTAAAAATTATATATATATATATATATATATATATATATATATATATATATATAATTTTTAAATATATATATAAATATATATATATATATATACATATATATATATATATATATATATATATATATATATATATATATATATATATATATATATATATATATATATATATATATATATATATATATATATAATTTTTACCATAAAGTCCACGGTAACTAGCCCAAGTTTATTAAATACCTTTTATTCTAAAAACAAACTTTTTAAACAACCATTTTTGTTAGTTTTAAAACTTCTTAATAGCAAGCCTCAAAACTACTCTGTAACTATGTGTTATAAATAGTTGCAGCGCACCAACGACATGAAATAAAGAAAAAAAAATTTGTTCAATTTTAATAGCTAATTATCTAGCCGGCACAGCACAAAGTTTTGCGTTAACTTTCAAAATTAACATTTTTTCCTCAGGAAATTGGGGCATAACAAATAAATATATATATATATATATATATATATATATATATATATATATATATATATATATATATATATATATATATATATATATATATATATATATATATTTTGGTTTTGTAACAATATTTAAACGGCGAAATATAAATTAAATAAAGCAAACTATTTCTCATTTAAAAGTTCCTGATATTACAATAGTGGAAACTTTTATACATTTTTAACGCTCAATAGCTCTAATGCTTATCTAAATAAACAGTAAACTTACAACAACTCCAAAAAATTGAAAAACATAAAAATAGTACCGTGAGGAAACTCTCTAGGATTTTGGAAATTTTTGACGGAATATTTTGGAGTCTAGGACTTTATAGTGGTGATCTCAATAAATAAAATAATAATTTTTAAGATTTTTAAAATTGTTTGATAATCAAGATTCAGCACAAAAAAAAGCACACTTATACAGTGTAAAACATATCTCATAACGCAAAAAATCTCGTGACCATATAACGGGTTATAAATGGAAAAGGTTTAAGAACCTTTTTAAAAAAATTTAATTACTTTCTCTGAATCAGAGTCATAAACGTAGCAACAATAAAACTGTCGGAGAATTAGTCATAAATAGGGCAAAAAAAGTTTCTTTAAATTCTTTGAAAGCATAAAAATTTCAAAGTGAACACGATCCAGGTGATTTAAAAAAAAAAAGATAAAATTTTATTAACATGGTTATTGTTTATTATTTCTTTACTATATTTACTTTTGATTAAAAATACTTTGTTTTGAAGTTTTTAATCACGTTATATGATTTATCATTATTATAACTACCAGGTTTGAACATTTGTTTTCCTTGCGTTTGTATCACATTTAAACAAATTATATATAATTAACTTTGTTTTTCACTTTCATTTTAAAAGTATTTCAAGTTGAACACTGAGTTACTGTGATTGTTTTAAGCACAATGTCACAATAGACTCACCCAGTAGACTCCTCGTGGACAATAACTCCCTGTAGACGCACAATGTTTTGGAGTCAAAGTACTGTATTCCCACAGGGTTTACATGTTTTTGACATAAAAGATTGTGTAATTAAGTAACCGCAAAAAAATACTTTGAAAAACAGTTTTAGAAGCTTTAAAATTTTGAAAAAGAACTTTTTGAAAAGCAGTTTTTATTTGCGCATTTTGAAAAGCAGTTTTTATTAACTCCGAAAGTTATTCAATTATGTAGGCTTTAATTTAATCATTTACTTCTTTATATTCATTTTAACCTCCTCTTGATTTCGTCGGCCTTTTATTATGTTATTTTATCTTGTTCATAAAAAAGTGTTAAAGTTCTACCAAATATGTCTGGCAATATTTTGAATAAATTTAGTACATTTATGTTATTTATATCAAAAAATTAAATACAAATTTTTTCTTTGAGAAACTCTCTTTTGGATTTTTTGCATTGCAGTGAAATAAAAAACTTTGTAGAAATTTTTTATTCGTCTATTTTTCACTCGCAAATAACTAGAAAGGTATTTTAAAATATTTGAAAACAATTTCAAATTTATATACAAGAACTGGAGAATTGGACAGGGTTTAATAAATATTATTGATACTTAGTCGATGCATTGTTTTTATACACTTATTCCTTAATATATATGTTTTAAAATATATATTCAGACATTGTTTATTTATACATATTCTATTAATTGTATTTATAGCTTACAAGTTTTTTTACTGTTAAAAAGACTATAAGACGAAAATGGTATAAATATGTTCAATTTTTTAGAGTTTCGCTTTTTAGAAAAATAGTCATAATTTGTAAATACGTTTGAAGAAAAAATGAACATTCACAAAGATTCTTCTGACAGAGATCATTCAAAATCATTTATTAAAGATGCCGCAGACAGAGTTTTAATTAATATTGGGGGAATTAAACACGAATGCTATATTAGCACTATTAAGAACTTTCCAGACACGCGTTTGTTTTGGATTGCTGAAACAGCTCTGAAGTTAAAAGAAAGTGACTCAAGTGAGTTTTTTTTTGACAGACACTCTGGCTGTTTTGAAAATATATTAAACTACTGTCGAACAGGAAAACTACATTGTCCAAATGATGTATGTGGATCTCTTTTTGAAGAGGTACCTGTTTATTATTATTTAATAGATTAGCAAAAAGTTAATAAATTAATTTTTTTTTTGAGTTTAAGAAGCTAATAAATTAAATTCTTATTAAAATTAAAAATTATTTGAAAAAATTTAAATCAAAATTTAATAGAGAAAGAATCATTTCTATATATTGTTACTTACCATTTTTATTTTTTATTACTGGTTATCTTACATGCAGGAACTTCAATTTTGGGGAATCGATGAATTAATGATGGAACCATGCTGTTGGGGAGGCTATACGCAACATCGCGATGCTCGACAAAATCTAAAAATGTTTGACGAAAATAATGATGATGCTGATTACCATAAAAAGTATAGTGTCGGGAGAAAATATTCAGAAACTTCTTTTCAAAAATATAGACCAAAAATTTGGGCTCTTCTTGAAAGACCTTTTTCATCAAGATATGCGCAGGTATGTATACATATATATATATATATATATATATATATATATATATATATATATATATATATATATATATATATATATATATATATATATATATATATATATATATATATATATATATACATATATATGTATATATTTATTTATATATATATATATATATTTATATATATATATTTATATATATGTTTACAATTTTTTAATTTTTCTTAGTTTTATAAATATTTAATAACACAAAAGTATTTCAAAATTATTTAAAACAATAAAAGGTGTCGCAGTTTTCATTCACCCATTTACTTTATGAATGTTTGTGTTCTGGTCAAATCTCAGAGTGAGCTCAGTAACCATCAAATGCAGTTTGAGCTCCAGTTACTCCACCTACAAAACCTATTCTGTCAGATGTAATGTTTTTTCTGATGCATTTTCAAAATATCTTCATCAATCTTTTAAAATACATACAAAAAATTACAACTTTTAGCTACTCCAGGTCTGGTCAGATCAGGTTCAGGATCATAACGATCAACAAGCTACTGGGATCATGTAATCCAGTACTGCTCTGCTGCCATGTAGGGTTTACTTGTTTTAGGAAAAGGATAAAAGAAATTAACTCCGACTTAAAAATCTTTTGCCTTGGCAATTTTGGTTGATTAAAAGCTAAAGATAATGTCTCAATAAAAAACTCATTTAGGGAGGATGTCAACTGCATCCAGATACTGTCTAGTGGAAATCTTCCTAGGCAAATATTTTACGGTTAAACAACATATTTTTTGTTGACCTGCCTCAAACCCTTTCTTCATCTATTATGCTAGCGTAGATGTAAATCTGTGTCACATTGTTTCCTGCCTAGGATACTGAATAGTGGTTCTTCTTGACTCACTAATTATTGTTTGTACCTCCGTGATAGTGGCTATGCAACTCTTTATCTTATTTGTTAATGAGGGTACAGCGCCTTGTCCGTATGCCTTGTTTTAATACTGTTATCCAGCCAGCAAAAAATAATTGGTCCAATGTTGACCCAATGCATTGACTTGCATAGGCACAATGTTGGAATAATGCGTTGGGCCAATACCGGAATGATCATTGGTGCAAGATATGACCAATGCTCATTGGCCAATGTTAAAAACAACTTTTAGCTAATATTATAATTATACGTTAAGCATGTCTAAAATATGTTAAGCCAATATTCAAAAAACGTTAAAGCAATACTAAAACTGTGATTTTACTTTACTTGAATCTTTTTACAACCAAAACAAAACCTGATTTAATAAAAAGAAACAGGTCAATAGAGTATTCAATGGTGTGCTTGTTTAGCTCGATTTAAATTAAACAATTGAGAAAATAGTCTTTGGTTTATGTATGCTTATATATTTCAGTCGAGCAAACCGTTAAACTATACAATTTTAACTATAAGTTATTACGATTAATTGTCTTGGATTAAATTTTTTTTTAATGATTGTTTACTCCCTTGTTCTGGATCATTTCTGCCTCCGTCGCGGTTGGAGGACTGCCAAAGCCAAACCTTTACAAGTTGTTCAACACTTGAAGTAGTGATGTCACTTAATAACTTGTTCTTCTTAACAACACTTGAGAAGGAAAGGAAAATTAAATCCTCATTTTACTACTTAGGTAGTAGTTGTAATTACTATTGAAAAAATATTTAATTGATTTTTGTTAAATATTTTATTTGGTATCAGGACAGCAAAAAAATTTATTACTTAGTTATATTTAACAAAAATAATACTTTCACAATAACAACTTAAAAAATTTAGTTTCATTATTTTAGTTCCCACACATATAGGTGTAAATTAAAGTTTTACACATGTTTTGTACACATGTTCAGATTATTTATGACCAAAATATTGCTGTTATAAAAATTCAAATTCAAATTTAATGATAGACTTACTGACAATAAGAGAAATTATTTTCCAACTTTTCCACTTCTACTAGCAAAGTTTAATTGTAATGATAACCCTTTTGAGAAAAGTGTTCTTAACAATCGACGTGTTGTATCACCAATATATCTTCCATCAATTTGAGCAAGATGACTAACCTTGATTAAAATTAATGGTATATTTAATATGGTCAACCTTAGTTAGACTTATGTAAATTGAAATAATTATTAACAAACTATTTAATAAGTTAATTAGTTTCAGTACAATATAAAGATATAAAAACTAAACTCCTTTAAAAAGTCAAAAACATATAAAATATTTTAAACTTATCAAATTTTACACTTTTTGAACTTTACCCAAGTTTTTAAAAGTATAATAAAGTATATAAAAATATATAAAATCAGCCCTCGGAATAAGGGCTTACGGCAATGTCGACCTAACTGTGGAGCTAAAACTGTGGAGAAAAAAAATCGCCGATCTCGTTTAGATGTTTTATATTCACTCTAAAGCTTGTAAATTTATTTTGGAGAAAATTTATATATATATATATATATATATATATATATATATATATATATATATATATATATATATATATATATATATATATATATATATATATATATATATTCTCCAAATATATATATATATATATATATATATATATATATATATATATATATTCTCATTATTTTGGAGAATATATATATATATATATATATATATATATATATATATATATATATATAAATATATATATAAATATATATATATATATATATATATATATATATATATATATATATATATATATATATATATATATATATATATATATATATATATATATATATATATATATATATATATACATATACGACCCTAACCATTTTATACTTATATTATAAGTATAAAAAACCCTAACCCATTTTTATGACTTTAAATTTTTATGACTTTAAATTTTTTATGAATAAAATTTTTTATGAATGGGAAAAATTTGGGAAAATTTTGGGAAAATTTTTTTATGAATTTAAATTTTTATGACATTTTTTTAATTTTTATGGGATATAAAAAACCCTTACCCTTTTATACTTATATTATAAGCAGGGCTGTGGTGTCGGAGTCGGAGTCGGAGTTGCGGAGTTGCGACATTTTTAGCGGAGTCGGAGTCGCTAAACAAAATCGCGACTCCGACTCCAATAGTCGGTATTGCAAATGCAAGTACAAAACATTCAATAAACCTTATGTTCATACTAAACCTCAAAGAACGTATCATAAAATTGTCAAAAAAGAAATTTTTAACTTATTGCGTATTATTTTATAAAGAATTCAAAGAATTTTTTCAAAAATTTTGCTCTGGAGTCGGAGTCGGAGTTGGAGTCGGAGTCGGAGTTGGAGTTGTGCTCAAAAAATTTCAACAACTGGAGTCGGAGTCGTTACTTTTTTTTACAACTCCACACCCCTGATTATAAGTATAAAAAAGTAAAATTTGTAAATAAAAGTATAAATGCTATATAACTATAACATTAATTTAAAAATATTTTTAAAACATAATTTTTTTTTTGCATTAAATAATTAATAAATAAGAGTAACAGGGGTACAAGAAAATAATCTAATGAATCAAACTTTTTAGGAAGACAAAGACATTTTTTGAAAACTACCATTTCCCTAACTGAACTTTTTTAAATTGTTTTGCATATTCAAATCCATTAGGTAAAGGACCATTAATATGTTCACCTTTAAGTGAATTAAGCTCATCCAAGTTATTATCATTTTTAAATTAATGTATAGTTTCCTCTCTCCTAATCTTCGAACTAATTGCTGAATTAGAAACTGTGGTTTCCTAATCATTTTTTTTTATATGTCCAAACAGATTTTTAAAAGGAAAGCTGCAAAAATTATCTAATGAATAAGGCAGTAAACATTGTAAACAAGAAATCCTTTACCATAGAGACTTCTACCTTCATTTACAAATAAAACAAGTAATTCGTGAGCGTATTCAGAGTAATCCTTAGAAAACACTGGATCGATCAATATAGTTATAGCTTCATTTAGTGACATAAAATGATTATATAAAGGTTATGACAAATTATTTGAGAGTACTAATAAGCCCAGAAAAAGTAAAAAAAAGACGAAATTCAGTACCTTTCCAGCCTAAAACTTCATGAACAGAACGACATTTTCTTGCAAATTTAGAAGGAATATTTTATGATAAGGATTATTATTTAGATTATTAGACAACTGATCCATTACACGTGTACCAATTTGAACATGCAAAGGGCCTTTCCAATAAAGAATCAATCGCTTCATGACTCCTAAACAAACTAGATGCATATAGTCTATACCAAACTGACTTACAAAACCAACATTCAACGGTTTTAGAAGACACTCCTTGAAATGATGTTGTTTGTCAATCATATGAAAAAAAGATAAATTTGTCTGTAGTTGGTGCATTGGTTTCAGGATCAATTAAGTTGCCATCATATTCACCATTTGTTGTGCATTTTTCACATGAATTATAACCAGAATGATCTTTTATACCTTTGAAAAATGCTCTAGCAGGTGCATCACAGATAAATTAATGAATTTTAACAGAATATCTTTTGTTTTCAAACAGAAAACCATCCTGTACTAAATGTTTAGTTTCTTCAACAAACTCTTCAAGAAATTCTGCTGCACTTGGTAGTTTTTTTTTTGTGCTATATATTCCGACAAAAAATGGTTCTTTATACTTTCATACGAATGGTGGAGTATGAATAATATTTTTTATAGCTATCCATTTTCTAGATAATAACTAACTACGAAAAAAAAAAGCATATACTTTTTCATTTACTTTACTTTTACTTATTTATTTTCCTTTTATAAAAAAATGTTTTTTAATTTTACAGTGCATGAAAAATAATATTTTTCATACTGCCCTTTGTATAAAAATATTTACATAACTTTTCAATAAACATTACTTAAATAAAATACAATAAGTCTAATGAATATTTATGTTTAAAGATTAGAATTTAGTCAAAAACTTTGATACTACTATCTTACAATGGAAACTTTAATACAAAATTATTTATCAAATACATTACAAACACTGTTTGTGCTATTCGTACAGTTGCCTCGGCTAAACTATTTTCAATCCACCATATTAGCCATGTTATTTCATACATTGGGCTAATTACTTCTTGCTAGCTGGGTAATTAAATCTCCTGAGACCCAAATAATAAGACTTTTAACTTATATACTACTACTACTACTACTACTACTACTACTACTACTACTACTACTACTACTACTACTACTACTACTACTACTACTACTACTACTACTACTACTACTACTACTACTACTACTACTACTACTACTATTACTACTACTACTACTACTACTACTACTACTACTACTACTACTACTACTACTACTACTACTACTACTACTACTACTACTACTACTACTACTACTACTACTACTACTACTACTACTAAGTTGTTAACATAAAATGAAAGTTTTAATTATTTCTTAGTGAAAATTAGTTAATGGTAAAAAAAACGCTAATGGAATTATTTATATTACTTTTTTTAGGTTGTAGCATTTTTATCAATGATGGTGATCATTACTTCGATTACAACGTTTTGCATGCAAACTGTCCCCAGACTCTTTAAATATCGAGTGTTATTTGAACATCTTGAATACTGCTATTGTTGCATATTTACAATCGAATTTTTTGTTAGGCTTGCTTGTTGCCCTTCTTATATTGCTTTCTTTTGTTCAAGTTTAACTTACATTGACATAATTTCTACTTTACAATTTTACATCGTATTTTTTGCAAAAGTTCATGCATTGGACTTTTTGTTTGTATTTCGTTTAATTAGAATATTTCGCTTGTTTCGATTTTTTAAACAACTCACAGGAATGCAAATAATTGTACAAACTTTAAAAGCAAGCATGAATGAGCTTATGTTGCTGTTGTTATTAGTCATGATTCCGATGGTCATCTTCTCCACGTTGATCTACTACGCTGAAAAGGTAAACGCGGCTATTTCGTTAAATATTTTTTACATATACATATTTATATGTTAAATAATTATACATTTTTTACATTTATATATGTCAGGGTTGACGCAAAGAGTGAAGTTATAGGGCTTCAGCCCTATAACTTCACTCTTTGCGTCACTTATTTATTTTTTAAATAAATATTAAAATTTTATGGCGTACAAGAAATTATAAAAAAAGAAAAACCCAAAGGTTCAAGTAAAATGTTTAACCAGTAGAAAACATTTTAATAATGTTTTAAAAGATGTATTATTGACATAATATAAAATAGAAACATCTTGAAAAATAAAATTCTGCTTTATATAATTCTATTAACTTACAAAGAAAAAATTTTTTTTTTAATATTTTGTGACTAATGGTAAACGTAATGATAATCATTATCTCAACAACAATCATAAAGTTAAGAAATATAAACAATGTTAAAAAATAATGATAATATTAGAAAATAATGATAATATTAAAAAATAATGATGTTTTTTATTAATGTTGATATTTTAATTTTCAAAATTTTATTGTAGGGAGAGGTATTTCTGAAATAAAAATACTCTTTTTCGTCAATTCTAGCCCTTACTCTAAAAAACTTGGCGCTGCCCCCTAATATATTTTATTGCCGCTAACTTTTTTAAATGATGTTTTTTGTAGAGTATATTTATTTTTAAACTAAATAGTTTTATTCAAGTATGATTGATAGTTCACATGATTTATTTAGAATGCAAACGTTAATTTGTTAACCAGCATTCCAGATTACTTTTGGTGGGCAATTGTTACTATGACAACTGTTGGTTATGGAGACATGGTGACTGTTTGTGTTAATGCAACATTTTTCAGTGTTGCAAAAATTAAAATCTTTTTAATTTTATTTCAAAATTATTTCATTTATTTTGTATGCAATTAACATTTATATTTTTGCATTTATTAGTTTATATACTTTTATTAGGTACCAAATTCAATAAACGCAAAAATTGTTGGCGCAATGTGCGCGTGCACAGGTTTACTGATAGTCGCTCTACCAGTTTCAGTTATTGGAAGTAATTTTGCATTTTACTATTCATACGCGCAAGCACGAATGAAACTGCCATCAAAAGCCAAAAAAGTAACTCTTACAGTTGACAAAAATTTAACACCAAGATATTGTAGAGGTAAAACTTTATTCTAATAGTATTATGGAGGTAAAAATTTATTCTAATAGTATTGTGGAGGTAAAAATTTATTCGTAATGATATTTATCGCATGCTAGCAATAATCATACAATCCAAACAGAAAATCAAACGCGCAGATAAAAAACAAAACTTGAATTTTTTTGTTACTTTAAAATAGTCATCAGATCACTTAGTGTCATGGCCACCAAAGAGCTTTTATGACGTCGTGGGCGTAACAGCATTTATACGCCCTTATAAACAAGTACAATTTAAAATAATGTGAACTTAAACATGTTTATGACCATATTTTTTTTCCATTACAATTATTTTATATTTATATTTTCATGAGCCACAGATATTTAATGCAGATGCGGTTCATATTTTTATGAACCGCTGATATTTAATTCATGTTTTCATGAATCTGGATTAAACTTATGCAACAATTTTAACCGACACTAATTAAGATTATTAAAAAGACTCTTTAGAATTAATATTAAAAAACTCTCTTCTTGGTTTTGACGTGCAAAACTTGTATTTAAGTTATCCTATGACAGAGAATTAGCCAATTTATTTTCAACTCGAATATTTAATCGGCATTGTTTTTAAAGTACAAATTAGTATGCATAAAGATGAAAGACTAGGCTAAAATAGACCTGTTGCGTATATTTGGTTTAGAAGACTTTAAGAGCATCCAGGAGTAATGCTTCAAAAGGAGACTGCTTCAAAAGGAGACTGCTTCAAATTATTTAGAGGCAAAAAATATCTTTTATTATTAGCGTAGAATTGTGCCAGTTTTTGAGCTTTGATATTTTGACAAGGTGTTTTATAATCCTACAAGCAGATAAAAAAGATACTTGAAGAAACAGTCTTCTCAATGTCAAATCTCAATTGAAGTTGTTGATTGATTAAAATGATCAGGCGCATTGTTGATTGATTAAAATGATCAGGTGCAACATTAAAGAAATTCACCAGAAATTGCTTTTTAAGGATCTCATAGAAGTAAGCTGCATTTCTAGCTTCATCGGAATACTGTTTTGCTGACTTCATTCATTTTGCTGACTTCATTTGCATTCTCTTTTTTAAAGCTAAGAGAATCCGTAAAGACAACAAAACAACTTTCTTTGTAAGCAACTTATAAATTTATGTATTATTAGGTTAGAACTATGACAAATTTAAAAAATTTTATAAAATCAATTAATGATTTTGCTTATACTTTCAGATCTCGCTCGTCTCGGACATCTCGGTCTTGGAAATCTCGGTCTTGGAAATCTCGGAACTCAGTCTCGGAATACCGAGAAAATGTAATCTGTTCAAAATAAACATTTCAATTTATTTGGTACATACCTTTGAGACATTATTACAAACAAAGTATCAAAAGTCCCTATCGATCCGATATCTGCAAAAAAAAGTTATTTTAGGTCAAAGGTATTAAAAAAAGGTGTTTTTTTTTAAAAAAAGGAAACGTTTTATTATAAAAATAGATCAAACAAAAGTATTAGATCATAAAAGTGTTTAATAAAATTGCTTTTATATATTTTCATAAGAATCATTATTTTTGAGACATTGCAATTCTTGCGAAAGATTATTGCGAGAAGATATTTGCAAAAATATATAGTGAGAAAATGTATAATGCAAAAATATTTTAAATATATTGCGATTCTATATAAAATATACTGCTAGAAAAGTCATTGCGATTCTTTTGAAATTACGAAATTAATAAACCAATAATATATACATTATATTTGTATACATAATATTTGTATTAGTTATACTCGTATTAGTGTGAAATATTATATATTAGTATCTTCTTCGCTTTCTTCTTCTTTGTAGTCATCTTCTTTTTCAAGGTGGATATGTGAAAAAGGTACATCAATTGTCTCCTCATTGATATCATCAAAATCATCATTTATTGAATTTGATTCAACAAGCAAGACTGGCCTGCAGCAAGACTGGCCTCGGCAATTAGTACACACCAACGAACAAAATAACCCGACATTTTTACAGCTACATTTTGCGCTACAACTCTTTTTGCAATTGCAGAAGATGGTGTTGAGAAGTCTTTCCGGAGCTGGTGGGAGTAAAGTGTCAATGTGCTATAATGTATTATTTACTAACTTCCAACCCCAGTCTAATGGGTCCATTTGATTGCCTAGCCATACTTGAACTTGATAGTATACTTGATACAAGTGTTGGCTAGAAGAAGCAGTTGTTGAAGGAAGACAAGATAACTGCACTCTTTTATTATTCCGGGTGCTTTTTACAAAAGTTAGGTATCTATACTTGTCTAAACAATAAATTTTATTTGAAGCTCCATATAAAGCAAGAAGAAAATAAATCCCGTTTGTAACAATGTCTTGTGATGAAGAGTCTATCTTTTGAAACACTTCGGCGTAATTAGTTAAATCACGTTTTTCAAATAATTTTAATGCGGTTGTTTTACCCTTTCTGAAAAATGCTGATGTAGTATCACAGCCAGTAATTGCATGTAAAAAAAAAGATATGATTTCGACATTTTGGATAAGCAGATTAACTTTTTGATGAATATAGTTCTGTTGGTTCATGAGCTTTCCCGGGTTTTAGTTAATAATCTATCAATTGGAGTCCGTGCAGTCAGTAATACTAATAAGTCAACACATTCACCGACAACAATAGAAGTATTTGTTGCATTGGATTGCTCTATGGCTGTTTCAATTATAAGGACACTAGCATCATTATCTGCTTGCTTCACTACAATATTTGCAACTGTAAATCTTTTGTATAACATAAAGATGAAACAAGACATGCTATGAGTATTAGGAAGGAATTGTTATTAGTTTGTTAGAACTGTCATAAATTGATCAAAAATGTCATCAGGTGAAGAAGATCGTTTTGTGGTTTAACAACGTTGTTCTGCAGCATTATTATTTTTCTTATAATTGGTATAACCATCAAATACTACAATAGACACTCGATAACTAAAATGTCTATGTTCGTACTACGTAATGTAAACTAATACGTACTAATGTGCATACTAAATGTATTTATCAAAAGTAACGTGATTCCACAAAACGATGTGTAATAAGTAATAAGTAATAAGTACCCTCCATCGATGGTGTAACTAGCATTTGTGTTGACGATTTTAATTTTCACTGATTCAAAACAATTGTAAATAGCTGATTTCTGTGTTTTACGCATTCCAGTTTCATCAAACATTGATAAAAGATAGGGGGCTAATTCATACTCAAAAAATTTCTATTTCATCCTCAAATGTCTTAGTAATACTCATACGTTGAAATAGTAAAGTTAGATCTACAGGTACTTTCTCATCATGAACTTTTATGGTGCTACTCATGGTCATGATCCTTTTCCTAAAATTAAAGAAATCATTGAAATGATTTCTTTAACTTTAGGAAAAGAATCATGTGATAAAAATAACTGCTGAAGTTTTTCAATATCTTTATCATCTTTATTCGTGAATCACTTGCATTTGCATGGTGATCTGTTGTATACGTTTTAATATCAGCAAAATCTTCTAATCCTTCACATACATTGTTTATTGTATGCATGCCATAAACCCATTTACTTTTAACACTCTCTTTTGTACTTCTTCCTTGAGAAATATATGTCTTCATTGATTTCATCATTAATTGCTCAATTACTATGTCCGCTGAAATACCACAATTGAGTTTATCAGAATGTCTAACAGTAAAAATCTCTTCGATAAACCGTTGATAAACACTTTGATTCATTAACTTCTCAAATTATAGTATATCCTGTAGATATAACTGCGCAGACTTAGCATAAGGAAAATGTCCCGATACGTGGAAATAAGGAAGCATTTATTTAACGCTGTTCAAATAACCTTGCCAATCTCACATGCGTTCAGCTCTAATAAACTCCTTTGCAATCGACGCCATATTAAGATATTGTATCCATAGTTTTGATATAGGTTCTCGTTTTTCAAATTCTTTTAGTTTTTCATTGAACTTATAAAGAAATGCGTTGCACATTTCATTATCAACGCCACTTTCAATATCACTATATGAAACTTTGTTATTTATGACATCCTTAATTGTAATATTAAGATTTGCTACCATCTCCTCATCAATAGCAAGATCTTTTAAAATTATTATAGCTAAAGTGAGCTGAAGTAATGTATGGGCTCTAACAGCTTAGGTGCATAAATTAACGAAAGTGACTCTTGTATGCCACTTCCTTGTATAATATAACCAATTGATTCAAAAAATGACATTAGTAAATGAAATTCTTTAACTCTTATTATGATCTTAAAAATTTCAGATCCATCAGGTGCTGCAGATACAATTTCTCAAGCATGCAGAGGATGATCGAAATTAATAATGCATACTTCGTGGCCGTAATGTTTCGCATTTTCTAAAACACAAAGTAAAGTCGTGTATATTGTACTGTAGTTACTTGCTGGTTAGTGAATAAACGGTAAGAATAAAACTTTAGACTTAGAAAAATTCTGAACACTACTTGTTAAACGTTCGATATAACCATTCCAACCGGGTAACAATAAATTCTTGCATTTACCATAGAACTATATTGCTTCGACTTTTTGGATTAAAGTTATTGGTGCTTCACTTTCATGAGCTAAATTTTGCACATTTATTTTACTATAACCAACTACACCATCATTATAATAGATTTGAATTGGCACATGTGCTTTTGCTGAAGGGATTTCCTTTATTCGTGGTATATGATCCTCTTGTGAAACTGAACCTTTTGGGGTAACAATTTGAATGATACCCATTATGCAAAGCAAGTTATTACCGTCTAAACTATTTACATTTATATTAGCATTGTCGGTAACGTATTGAATAAATGTGGCAGATTGTGGTGGTAAAATAAAAGGCGGACGGTGAAGAACTGCTGCTGCCTCATACATCAAAGTGTTATTGTACGATGCGCATAAACCAAAAGATGAAAACATTTGTATAAGAAGTTTGGAACCAAACCGTCGATAGAAAAATACTGAGAGACCCGATTGCAATTTTGAT